ATTTACTTTTTTCGCTAGATTTTACGGAATCAAACCAACAAAGATGGAAGCGTGCAGTTAACAAAAAGGCACAGAAAACATACATACCTTGCAGTAAATCGCGCTAGTTCAGAACTAGCGCAGAACAAGCACTCGTTTTTTCGATGCATTTTATTAAATTTTTATTTATTTAATTTATATTAACGGCTCTATTCTGTATCACTGACAAATTCTTGTCACAGTTTTTATTACGGAAAAATATATGAAAAAATTTAAACTTGGCAGTAAAAAAAATTCTGTCACCGATACAGAATTGGGCTATAAATTTGATAATTTTGTCTTAAAATTTTAAGCGGAACTCAACAATTTAAATTTATTAAATGTGAAATTCACAATCCCAGGGTAGAGTATTTCTGCAAGGCAATTTCAAATTTTTATACCCGAGCGCACTTGTGGAAAATTGACAATGCACTTTAGCCGAAAAATAAGAATTTTATAAATTTTCGGAAAATGAGGGATAGCCACGCCCACTTATGATTGGATGAAAATTAAATTACAGCTCTCCAAAAATCATTAAACTTAAAAAAAAAATTTATTATCCTGTAGACCTATTTTAAAAACATACATAAAATTGTTGTTGAATGAAGGTGGCACGAAAAAAAGTAAAAAGGTGCTAGGGGTCGGGAAAAAAATTTTTTTTTTTCGAAATTATATTGCAGAAATATTTAAGACTCAGGGGCATTCGGCGAACTTTTTTTAAGGTGATACGGTCTAATGTGCATGCAAACATTTAAACAACTGGGTGAGTGTATGTTTGTATGGAATTCATTGGGCATAGAGCAAATTATTTAGAGAGGCATTTATATACCTACACACAGCGTAAAACGTACATCGTTTTTATAAGTAAGCTTATACGGTGTTTACATGAGGCGATTTTACAGACAAATTTAGAAACGATTAGTTGGATAAAAAATTGGCTGCCACCCAACTTTATTGGAACTGATTAGTTGAAAGGCTGTTCACACCAGGCGATTGTTGCTTTCAACTAAAAATTGCCTGTAAAATCGCCTCATGTAAACACCGTATTAGGCCACAGTAATAGTTGTTATTCTAATATCACACACAGATGTTTGTATACTTGAACACCCACAAAAATCGGACAATATTTAATCATACCGCGACTGCCTGTATCGTGCACAATCGTCGATCATTTGCGCAATGCGTTTGACTTTAATTGAAGCAGAACCGTTTTAAATATGTAGGTACATACATACATATGTACATCCTTACGTATGAACCTGGCAGCAAACATCCTGAGCTCACATACATCGGCTTTTGTCAGTTAAATATTTTGCGCCGCATTAGAAGTTGATGCTTGGGGATTTTTATACCACATACGTATGTATATTTGTACATTAGGGTGATCCAAAAATGCATGTGAAGAAGTAAAGTCGAAATTTTATGCTCGAAAATAATATATTGAAAAAAATATACCCCGATTTTTTATTTTTAAATCAAAATCATATTTACAGGTCCCTCAAAGCGCTCAAAGTTTTCCATGTACTTATGGAAAAAACCGCTATTCGTAGAAATGGTATAGAATTCTTGAAAATCTATATTTTTCTACAGGAAAAAACTCAGTTTCTCTTCTGGAAATTCCCAATGATAATATCCAATTATTTATTTAACCGTTTTTTCATGGTAACTACAATTTGTAGGCCCACCACAAAACCACCAAAAAAATGCCAGAAAATGCAATGGGGGGACCAATAAAAAATCTTTAATATTAAAAAATTTTTAAACAAACAATTGGGTATTGTTATTGGAAGTCTTCTGAAGCGAACCAGAGTTTTCCGATCGAAAAATATTGATTTTCAAGAATTCTATACCATTTCTACGAAAAGTTGTTTTTTCCCATATAAATGGAAAACTTTGATCGCTTTGAGCGACCTCTAAATACTTTTTGATTTCCAGTTAAAAACTGGGGTATATTTTTTCGATATAAAACAATTCAAGGGAGTGAAAGCATTAAAATTTATGTAGATATTGATAAACCACACCAAACTTTTACAAAGTTAGTTAACAAATAAAGAATAAAAAATATTTATGTAATATTTATGTACATACATGCAGTGGTCGAAAACATTTTACTCGCACCAATAATTTTTTTTATTTTTTGTAGAAATATAGTTGATTCTTTAACAAAAATCGTATAAATCCAAGTATGAAACTTTGTGCAATATTTTAGAAAAATGCAACAAACTTTCGTAAAAATGTTGAGCGTTTTAATTGGATTTTCTAGAAATATTTTGAGTATGCAGTTTTGTAGCCCACTCAATTCTAAAATAATAACGTACTAGTTTCAAATGGCTAAAAATTTTCGTTTTAAGATTTTTTCCGAAGTTGTTGCGGTTTTTTTTCCATATAAAAATAAATTATTTTTATTCGCTATATGAAAGCAAACGCAACAAAGAAAATTCTGAAAAATCAACGGTAATTTTTAGCAATTTGAAACTTTATTATACTAGAATTATTATACTAGAATTGAAATTCCCCGATTCGCCACGCAAACTGGAACTCCCCGCAAATCGGGGGATTCCCCACGAGTTGGCTTCGCTGATTGGTTGTTTCACGTCAGCGTTTATCGACCGATGTCCAACAACAAGCGTGGGTGCTTTGAATTACTTCTTATCACTTTTGTTGCTGTTGATCCACAACAAATCAACACTGGTACTAAAGTTACACTTACTTCCAACTACTCACGTTGGATAATGCAAACCCAAAACCTCATCACACATCGCCTGCCTTGCATTTTGGTCCTTTTTTGTTTGATGCTCAAAAGGACCCTCTTCTCTTAGCATCCGTTTATATACATATGTACATATGTGTGTGTGCTTACAAACATACATATGTGCATACATTTTTGGTTTATTCTCAAAAGGACCCTCTTCGCCTTTTATCCTTTTTTATGTATATGTCCATATGTACATATGTATATGTATGTATGTACGTGTATGTGCTTTCAAACATATGAACATACCATTTTATTTTTCCTTTTTACACTTCGCGTTTATCTGTCGTCCTTTCAGTGCACCTACCACTGCTTGCAGCTGCCTCTGCCACTTGATTACATAAATATGTTCACGTCATCATCGCCTTCTATGTTAACATTTCACTCTTTACTGCGACTTCAACGACGCCTTTTTATTCCCACGACAGTTGGGTCTACATAACTGTAACGACCCAGATTTACATACATATGTACGTATATCCTGCCATGGTCTCTCACTCCAACATCATTCCCAAAAACTCCTAGGGGCAGGCCCGTCTAGAGATGAGAAGGGCGGAATCCCCCCGGGCCCGGTATTTTTTAGGGGCCTGAAATATCACCACGATCGCGCGATATGTCATGAGAAATGTCAAATTTTTACTTTAATCCGTAAAAATTTCCTCTTTTCTATCAATTGGCATAGACCCTGTGTGAACACATATTTTTCGATATTTCCGCTAGAAACTGCTCCTTCGTGATAGGCTTTAATCACAAATATATTTAATTGTGCTAACCTAAAAAAAACCTATACGGAAAACTCTCAATTGATCACATGCTTTTTCGACGGTCCTTCCTTGGGGGAACTTGTATGCCGTAACAACAAAACCCGTCTTTCTATTAGTTATATTTTTTACGACATAGGGGTATAACATAGGTACCTTGCAAAAAAATGCTGCTAATCCGGGATGACTCCGGGAGCAATCGCAAAGGAACATGGGACTAATACCACTTTTGATCTCTTTATATGGAATGAACTATTCGCTTTTGTTCGAGCATGTTCTATGAAGAGACTAATTGTTCCCCTTTATACCTTAACGCGTGTAAAGTAACTAGTCACTTTTAAAAAACCGGGATTCTCGGTTTTGTTAGGCAACACATGAAATTTTATTGACTAGAGAGTAATCTCGGAATACTCTCTTCAGAGATTAGTCGCACAGTTTTTTTAGCGTATTTATAAATACAATAAATATAAATAATAAAGACCCTTCAAACCAAAGTCCCTGAAATCTTTAGGAGTATCTCATTTCTGTAACGATTTTTTACGAATCTTCAAGTTTTTATCTAGTCCATAATTTTTAGTTTGTACATCTTATTTACTGAGATCTAATATCATTCCTGTATTAATATTACCTCTAAATCTGTTTAGTTACATACATGCATATATTGCTGTTGTACTTCAAAAGACAGTCTTATTGTACTAATTTTAAATAAAGAATAAATGTGAAATATATGAATATATGAAAATTATATCAAGGGGTCGACACAAACTCGTAAAGAAATTCCTGTACGAAAAACAAAGAAAACTCTGAAAAAAATTCGGATGACATCTTTACGAATTTTTTAAAATTTCTTTACAATTCAGAATACTCTGAAAAAATGGTTTGCAGGGAAAATAATTTGCAAAGTATGTATGTGTTAAATTATCGATTTCCTATACAAAGCGTAGCGCGCGGCATCTGTTGGCCGTAAACTCGCGCCATCTGCCGCAAAAGGCTAGCAAGCGCGCAATCAGCTGTTTGTAAACATTCGTGTTGCCAAACCGATTTGCATTTTGATCCCTAACTGCTCGCGCCAGCGCGTTTTAATCCCAAAACAAAGAAAGCGTCGCAAAGAGAAATGTCAAAAGAACGAAAATTTGTGGATACTGCAATGCCAAATTTTGTTTACCTTTTCTGTCATTTTAGAGCGTTGGCTTGGGGGAAAAGTGAAAAAAAAGTGAAAATTTATTTGTTGAAAAGCATGGTTCAAAAGCGCCTGTCCTCAGTTTACTAAAGCCAAATTGTTAATGAAAAAGTAATAAAAGTCAATTAGAATCTGCCGCTATAAAAAGTATGGTTTAATAGGTGCTTGCATTCTAATCCACCATGAGTGATAGGTTTGTGAGTGCTAAGTGAACGGGCGTGTCTTTCAGTAGCATAATCTTGCGCATTTAAACAAATCAATCTAAATTATCTCTTGTTTTTCTTTCCAGTGGTGTCGTGATATCATTGAGCAGTACGGATTCTAGCACTGGATCTAGCGAAGATGCTTCTGAACCGGGTTCTCCGTTCAGTCAACACTCAACAATAGGCGACGAACAGCAAAGCAATTCGCCCGCCAAGGCCATTAATAGCGTATCTGCAAGTCAAAGAAACATGCCACCACAAACAACAATATTGGCCGCGGCGAATAACAACGCCAACAACGGACAAGCGACAAATGGAGGTTCCAGTGCTTCTACTAGTGGCACAAATGTTCATGCACTCACTGTCACAGGAACAAATAGCAATAACAGCAACAACACTGCCAAATTAAAACAAATACAACAGCAACAAAATAAAAGTAATAACACTGCCAACGGACGCAATGTCCTACCTACTCTTCAATGGCCCTGGAATAATGCGTCAAATAATAGTACAATTCTACCAACCAACTTATCGGGGTCTACACAGTCTAATAAGAAACGCAGTGCTGTTAGCGTGACGTCTTCTGATAATAGCTCGGGCAAAAAAGCACGGAACACAGCTACTGATAGCGCGGCAAGTGGTTCCAACGCCGGTGCAGCCTCCAGTGCAAATGGAGTTAGCGCTGCAAAAAGACTGAAAGCGGCTGCACTGGAAGAATCACAGACGAAAATTACAGGTTACTTTAAGTCACAAATGAAGTCTCAAATCCATCAAAACAATCTAGCTAAGCGCAATATGGAATCGGTGCTAATCGCGGCATGCAGTTCGTCGGGCGGGGGTATGAGCACTACTTCACTAACAATGAGTGCGCCTGCTACCACCGCTTCTCTTAATAAATATTTCAACATATTAGCGCAGCTGAAGGAGAATAATACCCTCAATAATGGCAACAGTAACTGTAACGGCAGCGGCTCTATAACTAAGCCAACGCTAGTTTCATCAGCAACATCAATAAATAGTAGCATTATTGCAGCTTCACCACCGACGTCAACAACCTTAGCCCAAACAACATCCACGTCTTCATCTGCTAAAGGCGGTGTGGTCACACTTGCACCTGCAAGTGCATTGCCGACGATGCCGGTGCCTGCTTTGAAAAAGATTGAACGCAGTAAACCCACCAAAATCGCACAAGTGGCTCCTAATTTACGAAAAACTCCCTCCGCTTCGGGAAACCATGGCAGCGGCACCGGTAAATCACCAGCAAAGAAGCACGTTGCCATTGCGCCACGCACGCCTGAAATGAAACAACAACAAATGCAACAACAAGCCGCTGCGAAGCAGGCAGCTTCAACAGGCACTGCGCAGCAGCAAGCTACCACGCAGGTGACAAATCAACCAGCAGTACTTCTAACTGCCATACGTCTACCTACGACAAGTACACCTACGGCAGCGACGTCCACACAACTGAAACAAGCAGTAAGTCCTCCGAAATTGGCCCCTGTCGCAACAGCCACTGCCACCACAACAACAGCTGCGCCCGCCACAGCCCAGGCGCTCTATCAACTGCCTGCAGTGCAATTACCGAATCTAGTCCAATTGCCTCAGCTATTAACTGCCACAAACGGTGCAAATATAATGCAGCTAAACAACTTGGCCACAGCAGCTAAAAATGCCAACCCAGCAGCGTCTGCGGCTGCGACATCAGCACAAGCGGCGCAGGCAGCAGCCGCACAATACTTCCTCAATGGTACGGTCTTCAAGCTCCAGCAGTTCACCACTGCAACAACCACAACGGCAACTTCGGCGGTTGCTGCTGCAACTGCCGCCGCCACTGCAAATCCTTTCAACTTGATGACTGCCGCAGACCTTCAAGAGATACTCATTAAGCAGCAGCAGTTACAACAGCAGCAACAGCAGTTGCAATTACAACAACAACAGAAAGCAGCAGTTGTTGCTGCTGCTGCTGCGGCTACGGCACAGGCCACAAACACAAGTTTCCAAGAGATCTTCCAGCAACAAATCGCTGCAGCCATTGCCGCGAATCAACAGCAGCAACAACAACAGCAACAGCAGCAATTTCAACAATTACAACGATTGGGCGCTGCAGCTGCGCAACCGGTATTCATGGCCACCCCAGCTGGCCTGATATTAAACGCGGCCTCACTACCGGCTATGCTGGCACAAGCTGCAGCGGCATTGGCCGTAAACAACAGTCAACAACAGAAGCAAGTGCAAATACAACAACCACAGCAGTTGCCCGCACTTCAACCGATACAGCCAAGTGCGCTTCCCGCTCTAAGTTCAATATTTGCTGGTGCCGGACAGCAGCAGGCCCAAGCCGCTCATGAGCAGCATACCGACTTCCATCAACAGCAGCAACAACTTCTAGCATTTTTGCAGCAACAACACCAGCAGCAACAGCCGCAGTTTATAACAGCAACTCAACCACCACCCTTGTCCGCTGTAAATGTTACTTCGTCGCCATCGTCTACGGCAACATTAACGACACTGCCAGTTAATGCGACCACTACCGTTGCTGCAGCAAACAGCGCAAACACTGCCAAACTGGCAATCGTTAAAGCAACTACTGCCTCTTCAGTTCCACAACAATTTACAGCTCTCAATTCGCAACCGCCGCCGTTGGTGACGATTTCTCATGGAAAAACGCGCACAACGGCAATAGCGCCAGCAACTACCGCCAATGTTCCTGGCAATACACAAACCAGTAAGCCAGCTGCCCATACCAAACCGTATCAGAAGCGAATGCCAAAGGTAGCGCCAGCTCCGGTACCAGTAGCGCCCGCGCCATGCAAAACGACGCTGTCGAGTGCAAAGGCGAAAATCTCTGGTGGTTGTAAAATCATTGCTACTCCAACAACGCCGCCACCCTTGGTACCAGCGTTAAGTAGCAGCACCGGTGGTTGTGGCGCCATGACGTCATCGCCTACCACTCGCACTGCGATGACAAAGCAGTTGCAACCCGCTGCTGGATTGCCTACGCCGGCGCTCATAAGCATTGCACCTGCTCCGGCTATGAACACCACAAAAACCACTGCGCCGAGCACAACTAATGCGGCAGTGATACCGAGTGCCATGAAATTGCCAACCTTGCCGCCACTCGCTCCCAAATTAATCACGGCATCTTCAGCAGTAGCAACAACAGCAGTCTCATTCACTCCTCCAACAACGAAAACAATCGTCGCTAGCACAACCGTTACTTCAACCACCACCATACCTTCAACCCCTGATCTCTTCGACATGGTTAAAAATTCGAATGGCACAGTCTCAATCTCTGTGCCCGTTACAGGCAGCAACAGCAAAAACATCAGTAGCAATAATACATTGAATAAGTGCTCTTCGCTATTGCCCTCATTTTGCAACTCACCAATGTCATCATATTCATCCGCGTCCTCACCTTCCCTTTGCTCCACTTCGAATACCACATCGATCGATAGTTTCTGCCCGAAAATTAAAGAGGAGCCATTGGACGAAGCTGTCGCTTTCTCCTCTGCCAATACTTCCGATAGTGGAATTAAATTGGAAAGCTTTAAGGCCTCGTCGCATACTCAAATGCTACCAGCAGATATTAAGGTTGAACTAATGGAGGACACTACTAAAATGTATCCCTCAACAACCAGTGGCACATCGACCAGCATAGCCAACAGCATAACGCATGCAAATGAATGTTCATCGTATTCGTTTAGCTCCCACTCGAATTCCGTATCTTCGGCAGCTGATCTTTCGCTGGAAGCATCTACCCCACCGTCGCTCTCCTCCCTATCTGCCTCCTGTTCCTCTGCACCCTCACCATCGCCATCGTCACCGCGCAACTCTCCGCCGCCATTGCCGCCAACACAGCCGTGTGAATCGAATTCGGCATCCCTTGGCTCAGAATCATCAGCATCATGTGTTACCGCGGCTACAGGAAGGGATATGCTTAGTGAATTGGTGACATCTTCATGCATATCTTCCAATCTAACTTCAGATATGTCGAATTCGGCTGATGGCACAACGGCAAATGATAAATCGCTTACAGCCGGACTCGAAGATGTAGAAAAAGATGACAATGGGGATGAAGAAATAAGCGAAAAGCGCGATTTGCCTACACCAGAGTCAGGAATTGGAGGAAGTTTGACGGCTAGTGAAAGCAGCGAATCCATCGTTAGTTCTATGTAAGTTTTGCTTAGAGATTTTATCCTGTTAAAATTTGATTAATATATATTTAATTTGCTTAGCTCCAATAATAGCAGTAAAGCGGAAATTATTGCCAACATCATCAATTCGATCGACTCGAATTCGCCACCACCCACCCCGCTCTCTACCATGAGCGCAGGCAGCGCTGATAGTGCCAGTCATAGTATTGGTTGCTTGCGTTCCGCCTCCAGCGATAACAACTCTATTAACAGCAGTGTACCATCACCGGTCTCACCAGCCCCAACTTTCGGCGCTGATATAATTAGTGGCGTCTGCTCATCAGATGCAACTACAAGTTCTACCTCCAACATCGACGTGCCCATTGCTCTTAGTTTACCGAATAGCATCGATATAAGCAATTCCAACAGCTGCACGAGTAGCAGTCTCAGCAGCAGCAGCAGCGCCGGCGAACCTCAGTCAACGTCCAGCGGCAGCAACAGTAACAGCTTCACCTCTACACCTACCCTCATCGACACTAAACTCGCTGAATCTACCAGTGATTCGCTGCCTAAGTGCGCCATCTCGCCAATACTTTCTCAGCCGAAAACCATACGTTTCCCTGCTGAAACGGGCGGTTTTCGCTATGGTCCGAAAGGTGCTAAACGTCATGATGGCGTCTGTTACTGGCATAAATGCAATAAGAAGCATGATAGCTGTTCAAAATTGTTGGATCATATGCAGACACATCATGTCAATACACAAACTGGTCCTTTCTCATGCCTATGGGTCGGTTGTAAGGTTTATAACAAGGAGTCGTGTTCGCGCCGCTGGTTGGAACGCCATGTGCTATCGCATGGCGGTTCGAAGCAATTTAAGTGCATTGTCGAAGGTTGTGGGCTGCGTTTTGGATCGCAGGTAAATGTGGTTGACTAAGCATTTAAATGAGCAAAAACTAATAATCACATTTTGGATTCATTTGTAGCTGGCTCTGCAAAAACACGTAAATAATCACTTTACGGCCACTGAAAATAAGGAGAGCTCAAACAAGCGTACCTCAGATCCGCCAGTGCCCAAGCAGCTGCGGAAGAATGGAAAAAAATTGCGCTATCGGCGTCAACCGTTTTCAGGTAAGTACAGATAATTTTGTACTAAAAATCTGTAGTTAACTGCCGATTGTGATTTTACTACGCAATGTGAATTTGGCCCTTTCATACAAATATAGAAATACTATTTCTATATGTCTTTATTAACTTAAAAATTAAACAAATACAAGTTGATGTTACACACAGGAAATTCTGACGTTAGCGTCGCTAGAAAAATACGTTGAATAAACTTAATAAACACTTAACTACTGCGGCAAGTATTAGTTGTTGTTGTAATAGCATACAAATCCCCAAAGAGTTTTTGGGAAGCGTTGCTGAAGTGACAGTCCTTGGCCAGATATAAATCTGGGGCGCTCCGGTTACGTAGACCCGACTGTCGTGGGAACGGGCAAGTGTTAGTTGTGTATGTTGGTGATGTATCGCTGCTAACTCCTCCAGTGACGAGTAAGCCGACTTAAGCCTGTCAATGGACACCGTCACTTGTCTTGATCCAAACAATATTGTATACGTCTTGGTACAGGTACCGTTAAAGACGAGGTACGGATGTGTTTGACGCCTAATAGCATGGCTAGTTGTTTAAACAACGCACTCTCGAACTGACGCCCCTGATCTGTAGTAATGTACTTTGGCGTACCAAACCGGCTTATCCAACCGTTTAAAAGCTCTCTTGCCACTGTCTCAGCGGTCATGTCCGCTATAGGGATAACTTCCAACCATCGTGAAAAACGGTCGACACAGGTTAAGTAGTAGTGCCGCGCGAAGGGGCAAACGGGCCGACGATGTCCACATTAACATGGTCAAAACGCTTCCAAGGGACCAAACATTTCTGTAGTTCACCTTTCGTGTGACGCGCTATCTTGCAACGCTGGCATGCTGGGCAACTACGCACCCGCGCTCGTACATCACTGTTCAATCCTTTCCAGACAAAGCTCTTTGAAATAAGTTTTATTGTTGCCTTTGCACCAGGATGTGCCAAACCGTGGACCGCATTGGAAACCACCTGTTGCAAAACATCCGGAACATGTTGGCAACGTGTTACCGTTGAGTTATCGCAAATGGTTTGTATGCTCGTACCCGGAAGCTGACTTTAGACCAGGTGTAACGAAGCTGCAAGTCTATCGGCGATGGTAGCGAAAACCTTTCGATTCTTCATAGCGTTTCGGCTATAACGTTCTCAGCTCCGCTTAAGTGCCGTATATCGGACGAAAACTGGCTTATAAAATTCCATTGGCGAGTTTGCCGTGGAGATAGTTTTTCCCACTTTTGATCGAGTGCATGCGTGAGCGGCTTATGATCTGTAAATATTGCGAAATTCGTTCCTTCCAAAAATTATGAACGAAAATGCCGCACAGATTTATATATGGCAAGTAACTCACATTCATACGTGCTATACCGCTTCTCGGTTGGTGTAAACTTCTGGTAGTAGAATCCCAACGGCACACAAACATTGTTCACCCGTTGCTGTAGAACGGCACCTTCGGCGATGTCCGAAGTGTCGGTCATGAGAGCGATTGTCGCGCTCTTCATCAGGGAATCCAATAATGCAGCTGCCGCTAATTGCCTCTTAAGATTTTCGAAAGCCTTCTACTGTCCCATGCCCATGAGTCGCTGTAGTGGCGCTTCGATGGCGGCAGCATGCTTTAAAAAACGTTCGTAGAGTTGATGGTCCCTGAAAATCTCCTCAGTTCGTGGACTTCGTTCGGTTTCTTCAATGCTATGATGCCTCTTACTTATCACTACTTGCCAGTTAAACATCATTATCAACGATTTAGACATCATGCATATAACATGTGATCGATAAAGCAGTCGTTGTATCTAACCGGAGCTTCTACCTCCGATTTGTGCTAATCAGACATTGAACAACCGGCCCCAAGTCTTTCATGTCACGAAGCAAATTAGTAGGTTTCTTCTCGCCCAATTCGAGGCCTTCAAATAAGCGTTTGAGCCTTTTTTCGTTCGACTCGCCAAATTCAGCAATCAGTGTTTGCTTTAATGCGTCGTACTTGTCCCTAGCAGGCGGTGATGAAATTATGTCGGTAGCGTGAGTGAGAACTGCTGAATCAATTTCAGCTAAAATTGTGTAGTACTTCGTTTCATCGCCCGTAATCCCTGCTCGCACGAATTGCTCCTCCACCTATGCGAACCACAAGCGTGTATCTGGCTTCCAGAACGGTGGCGGGTTGATGGAGTTCCGTGCCATATGGAAAGAAGCGACAGCGTCTTCGTATCTATCTTCACCTTCGTTCACCATATTATATATTATTAGTGGGATCACCAGCTATAGAAATACTATTTCTAAATGTCTTTATTAACTTAAAAATTAAACAAATACAAGTTGATTTTACACACAAAAAATTCTGAGGTTAGCGTCGCTAGAAAAATACGTTGAATAATAGGGAATTTACATGAGGCGATTTTTCAGGCGATTTTTAGTTGAAAGCAACAATCGCCTGGTGTAAACGGCCTTTCAACTAATCGCTTTCAATGAAGTTGGTCGGCTGCCTACTTTCGTTCAACTTTTGGTTCAACTAATCGCCTGCGAAAGTTGAATCATGTAAATTGCCTATTCATGAAGTTGATTTCAGTTAGTACAAACGAATGTCAAACAGCTCTGTTCGTTTACTGCGCCGTTTTGATGTTGCCACTTAACTACTGCGGCAAGTGTTAGGGTTGGTCCCTACGCAAACAAAAAATTATAATTGAAGTATAAATAAATTTTTAAGTACTTCAAAATTAAGTAATATTAACTTTACAGCGCGAATGTTCGACTTTTTTGATGCCGGTATAATGGAAGGTCTGCAGCATCGTTTGCGTCAAATAAGCGTGCTCTCCGATGGCTGCAATATGATAACGTTCCAGGGCCAATGCATGATGCGACGCAAAACGTTGCAAGGTACCTACGAAAGTTTCATTCGTTGGACGCCGCATGAAATGTATGTAGAAACAGAGCATTCATTCATTCCAAGGTGTCCAAAAAATATAATTATTAATCCTCATAGCATTTCCGATGAGTGGGTGCCATCATGTGATGGACCTTACACCAAGACAGTTAACATAAAGCGCATGCGCCCAGCGGAGAAGATCAAGGTTGAGGGTTTACTTATGACTGCTTACAAAATGCCGTATTCAACAAATCTGTTCGACGATGACAATGATGAGGAAGAAGGGGAAGCTTCCGATGACAGCGATGAAGACGATGGAAATAGTAAGTTGTTCGAAATATAAAAATGAAATGAATGTGAGGCTTAAACACATTTACTTTTTGCTGACCTTTAGATGGCGAAGATGAAGCAGAAGTGGCTACTTTAGTAGAAACGGTGCGAAGCTCGCAACAGCAAAGTGTAATTGCGATATCCCGCACGCAAATACAGCAGCGCCGCAAACATCCGCGTAAACCGATGAAACGTGTACACATAGAAAAGCCATTAAGCGTATAAATATTGAACAAAGTAATAGATAACGCGTTACACCGGCAGAATGATCTCCAATAAAATTATGCAAAGGTGAAGGTTTATCCTCGTGTGCTAGCAGAAGTTGGCGCAAACTAAATAGGTGGTTAATTTGAAAAAAAAAACATGCACGGACAAAATCCATTTCGATGAGTCTGCGCGCCAGCTAAGCAATAACACTGCACTTCAACAAAGTTATGTATATGTACATATAAGTTTTTAGTATTTTTTGTTATAAATAAGTAGATGCAAATTGTAACGGCATTGTTCAGAGAGTTATATTTTTTAATTATTTTTTATTACCATTTTTAATGTTTTAATCTAGTAATAATATTTAGCAGTTACAAATAGACAATTGGCCTGCACTTTAAATTGGTTTTGTAACCAATAACAAAAAAAAAAAAACAATTTTATACGCGATAATCGCATAATATGAAAAAGTATATTATGAGTTCACTGCGTAATTATTAATTTCATTTAATTTAGTAAATTTTTAGTTTCAAATTAGCGTAACTATTTTAACATAAATATCTGCCTATTAATTGCAATTGCCAGCCCTTAATTGTGAACTGTAAGTGGCTTAAAGTTTTAAAGCCTGTGAAAATTGTATTAGTTCATAAATTAGGTGTTACAAGTGGTGACAAATATGCTCCACGACAACAGTAAAACAAAACTGTAATTTTTGTTAATATTCATTTTTTTGCGGTGATCGTATATCTAGTGAAGTCAAAAAAAAATCCTTTATACTAATTCAAAGCATAAACGAATATTCATTGACATCCTCCACTTACAGTCGCCATCGCGAAGCACATTATATAATACAACCTTATCATAAAACGCGCCAACCAGCCCACCCGTTAAAAAAGTTGCAAGTTGCGAAAATAATGGACAAATTAAATCTTTGTGTTTGTGTAAATATATACATGTAAGATATTTTTTTGTTAATATTTATAGTTTTAACAGATTTTTTCTACATATAAATCAGCCATTTAATTGTGCAAAATTTAATGCTAACAAACTTCATGCCAGAAGACTTTTAATTGATAAATGTATCTTAAGTATTTTGTATGGCAAGTACAAATCGCATACAGAGAAGTGTGTACATTTTAGGCTTTGAAACAAAAAGTACGCATATGTGCCGTAGTTAATAGCGTAGATTAACAAGTGTCAGCAATGCTAAGCTATTAAAATCATACATTTACTTGCACAAAACACAAAAAATAAAAAACAAAAAAAAACAGTGACTGGTAGAGAACAGAAGTATGTGTTTAAATAATAAGCATGTAGTTATTGCAATCGGTTAGTTATAATTTTTATAAAATTGTTTTCGCGTACCTACAAACGCAATTAGATATAAATTGTGTAAATACATAAAAAAGAACGAAAATAGAAGTTTCCAGCACTGCGCAGAGCAGGCGATTGGGAGCTCAAAACTTTTGTAAATCTTAAAGACTCCTGATAGCCTGTTTAATCACTATATTAAATAAATTTTTATTTGTAAAACAAAGTAAAATACGAAAACAAATGTATAATTTAAGGTTTGTAAAGTAAAAATAAAATGTGTGTGTATGCTCATAAACGTCAGCAACTCAGCAAGTAAATCATTTAGTCAAAATCACAAAGTAAAACCGAGATCATTAGATGTTAAGTTTAGTGTGTTTAGTGTGTTTAGTACGTTTTTTTTTTGTATATTTTTTATCTTTGCCACACACAGCCACATTTGAACGTACGTTTGCCAATTAACATATAGAACTTTTTTTTAAACTTAATATAGCTATGTATATGACATGCGTATTTCAGCGCCGCAACGCTTCTTTCAAGAATTAGTCGTTAGTTGAAAAATTATAAAATATTTAATTTTTAGTTTTGTTTGTAAATGTAAAATAGCAACTTTATTTTTTCTGCACACGCACACTTATTTTAGTTGTGCAAATAAAGATAAATAATTTTTTAAACAAATATTTACGCGACGCGTTAATTTCCAACTATGAATTGCCCGTTTATCACAGTTGATATTTGTCGCGGCTCATCATCAAAAATACGATGCAATTTTTTTCTAGTAATTTTCTCTTAGCCTATTTGCTACCTAGCTGCATAAACATCGTACATATATAAAATTATATAAGAAACATATGCGAGTGTGTTGTACATTTAAACATATATGTAGATACAAATGTACATACGTATATACTTGTGTATGTATGTGTGTACATAAATTTTACACTTTACACTAGAAGTAATTAAATACTATAATTTGTACATAAAATCATGCAGGTACATATAAATGCATACATATTATACACGTACATACATTATATTGCATACATACCTATAAACAAACATTTCTCCATTACTGCGAAATATATGAAAGCTAATTTTTTAATAAAAACCAAACTGCATTTTTCATTTTAACATTCTCTCTTTTAAAAACGCGCCTAAAAGTATGCTACAGTTTGTGGGCACTTCCGCCCCGACGAGATTATGTGCTGCGGAAAATGCACCAGGCGCCCAGAAGTGCCCAGCAGGTGGTTAGCAACATAATTCGCATCATGATGCAAATATTGCGCATCATAATTTTTAATTTTTTTTTTCAAAACGTGGGAAACGCACGAACGAAAGTCGAAAACTGCGAAAATTTACAAAAATCATAAAGCGCCACACTTGCAGGGCGCGCAACTTTTGCAGTACGCGCGATGTTCGCCCGGTAAAATGCGGAAATTTAGATTTTAACAAATTTTTTGAAACAATTTCCGCGTCGAATGCAATTTTTTAGTGTTTCTTTTTTTGCTGATAGATGTTCATTAAACAATACCTACCCTCATTCTAATCTAAAAGTAATCACTCATTTTTTGCGCTTATTAGTTTATAGCTTTTATTTTGTTATATATTGTACATATGCATGTATGTACATACAGTGGTGGAAAAATAGATAGGGACACGACATATTAACAAATTTTGCCTATTTTTCTTTTGTTTATTTAATATTTATTATTTTTTTATAAAAAACAAAACCCATATAAATTCATATTTCAAATTTTGTGCAAAGTTGAGAAAAATTCTGCAAAATTGTATCCAAATTTTAAAATTTTTAATCAGATTTTGCAGAATTTTTTTGAGTACGCAGTTTTATAGCCCATTAAATTTATTTGAAATGCAAGTTTGAAGTCCCTAAAAATTCGCGTTGATTTTTGATAATTTTTTTTCTGAGTGTATTACACACTTTTATCCATGCAAATAAATTGTCGATGTTTCGTGGAAAATGCATGAAATGCAATTGCCAAAAAATAACGCGATTTTTTAGCAACTTAAAACATGCACTGAAATTTAATCGGCTATAAAATAAAACTGCATACTCAAAACAATACTGCAAAATCTGTTTAAAACGTTGAAAATTTAGATGCAATTTTGCAGAATTTTTATAATTTTTGCACAAAGCCTGAAATACGAATTCATACGGTTTGTGTTATATAATGGGCTATCCTTTTATAAAAAAAAAAATAATACATATTAAATAAACAATAGAAAAATAGGCAAAATTTGTTAAAATGCAGTGGCACCATTTATTTGTCCACCACTGTATATTAACATACATACTATTGCTTACCAATTACAGACAATCGTATCGATAACGCTTGTACTCAATTGATTGATGATAATTACTGCCAAAATTTATTAATCTTCACCATATTAAACGTAGCTTATTTTATGATCGCGGCTATTTAGTTGAAATTTCCTTTGTATTTAATTATTAATTTTGAATTATTAATTATTAATTAAATAGCGGTTAATTATAAAAGTTGTAACTAACAAGAAAATATGATTATGGAATTGTAATTTTTTCGTTCAACACGTCATTCAACAAAATTTTACACGAACATATCTTCTGAGAAGATTTAAAATAATGCATTTTATGCTAAAATATGTATTTTATATTTTATTAAAAAAATATATATATATATTTCTTCCAATTCCAAATTTAAAACCAGTCACTTTTGGTTGCATCCACAACCTACATACATACATACGTAGGGCATCTAATAGCAAGCACAAATTGAAAATCTGTAAATACATAAAACAATATTAAAAGAAATTAGAGCTGCAATATGTACGCGTACAGCAGGAAAAAGTGTTAGTTATTAAGAAGAAATTAATACAAAAAAAATCATCAACACTGCCAAAATAATTAAATTGTAAGCGCCAGTGAACCTTTTTTTTTGTGAAGTAATTACATATATTTAAAACTGCAGAATTAGAATTAGAAATAAAATAAGCTCTAACTTATACACAAATATCGATGTTACAGCTAAGTACATATGTATGTATGTATGTATATATATATAATTAAATAAAGCTTAAGATAAAGGTGAAGTACTCACTCAAATCATTAAACTAGGCATACGTATGGTATGTGTATATGTAAAAAAACTTGACAAACAATTAAGGAAAACAAAATTATTTCATGAAAAAAAACTATACATATTTCATACATATGTATGTACGTACGTACATATAATCACACATGCATAAATGTTAATCAGTGAAACTCTCAAGCAAGCCAAGTTGGCTTTAATAATAATTCATGGGAAATAAAGTAATAATGACAAAAATGCGATTTCAATTATTTTTAATGGGCAATTTCGTAGGGCGTATGCGTATAATATATATGTATATTTAACTACATACATATATATACATATATTAATTTCATTTATGATTCGATTTTTCTTGTTTCTTTTGCTTGATTTTATTTTATGTTTTGATTAATTTATTTCTATAATTAAGTTGCCAAATTTCCACTTTGAAATGCCATGCCATTTGGAAACGACTTTTTGCCTATCTTTAGGTGCAATCCCATATTCCTCGGACTAAAACTAGTAAAACTGTCAAATAATAAAAATTCGCTGAGAGCGAGAGAGTAACATTGGAAAGTACGGGATCGCTTTCTAGTAAAATATGGCAACTGCTGTCAACTTCAACATAACCTCCAAATTTTGGTTGTAAATTTTTGCTTATTTTATACGTAAACACACTCCACTTAAACAAGTAACTAAATACTTTTCAACATGTATTAGCAGAGTGCACTTTTCTTTTGTTTACAATTTGATTGCCAAACACACTACAGCTGATCGTTTGACAAATTTACCAGAACTTGCCAGCAAAAAATCTTCGGATTGAAACTGATAACTTCTGACAGAGAGAGGACCTTATTTACTCGCTTTTTTGTCCTCTCAATAGTCGAGAGAACCGAGTACGGGATCGATTTCCAGTAAAATCTGACTAATTCTGACTAGTCCGGACTCGTACGGGATCGCAACTTTTATTAAAAGTAATCACACGGGTATTTTGTCATTTAGTGCACAGTGGAAATCCGGTATTACTAAGAACTAGGGTTGCCAGACTTTTATCTTTGAAAAATCAGTGCATACATCATGTGTAGCTCGACGAAATTAGGTGTATGGGTGGTTCTTCATCCAAGGTGGGTTAGTGTTGAAAACTAGCGTATTTGAACTGAAACCTTCCATATACCGGCATTTGTGAAAAATTTTAGTAAATACTATAGCTAAATTTTTTTAAACAAATTTGAAAAAATTAAAAAAAAATGTTCCAAATTTGAAAAATTGGCGTACCACCAATTTAACGTCTTTTTTTTAGTTTAAAGCCGTTTTTAATCTAGTAATTGAAATTTCACCCCCTTCCTGTTGACCTATTGTTTTGAAATTTGGTACACAATTTAAGTTATGATGACTATATAATCAATCATTGTAAATCTAAGATGGACGCCGCCACAAATTTTTTTACAAGCTCAATATGGGTATCAAATGAAGGATTTTTACTAAGAGAATGCAGTACACTAAGAAAATGTTCCAAATTCAAGATGGCTGCCACCACGACCCCTCAATATGAATATCAGATGTAAGGGCTTGGCTATCAGAAGACAGTACACGGTTAAATGTTCCAAATCAAAGATCGCCTCCACCCCTAAAATGGCGAATTATATTTTTTTCAAACTCCTCAATATGGGTATCAAATGAAGAATTTTGACTAGTAGCATACAGCACACATGCATATGTATGTATGTATGTGAATGAAACAATGGAGCTCAAAGCACATGAAAAGACGGAAAGAGCTTGTGTGAAATTATGACTTCTGTGAAGTAATGTAGACATTTTTTGTTCACCAACTGCAATATTTAAAAATTTGTGCAAATAAGATTTTTTTTTGTAAATTCAGGACATTAGCGTACTGATTTACGGAATGGGAAATATCAGTACTAGAGTTAAGAAATCAGCACACCCCTTATAGAATCAGTACGTCTGGCAACCCTTGTAATAACGCAATTCGTTTGTTTTTTATTTATTTTAATTTATTCAAAAATTTAAAAACTGTAATGATATTTTATTTTATGCTTTTGGTATTTTAAATTAAACTAAGCTTTCTATGCAGTTTGTTTGAAAACAAACTTTTGAATTATTTTTTCTATCTTCCTTTTTTTCTAAAAACTTTTGTGTATTCTTTATCGATTCACTATGAAAACTCAATCATTGGCGTAACACAAAGCAATAAAGTTCAAACAATCTACTAAAATTTTTAGAAAATCATTAATTTTACTTTTAAAAATTGTGTGCAATTTAAAAAACATTTATAAAAAAATTTACCAATTAAATAGACCGCCTTTGCAAAGATCAGAATAACGTCGTATATACCCAAAATTGGCGAATTTAAATTTAAATAGATAAACAATAATTAATTTTCTACATGCTACAAATTTTCGCATTGAAAAGCTACTAGCTGTACTCACGCCGAAGTTGTTTGTCTGTTTATTTGTTAGTTTTGAGGTGCTTGAAAATAAAAAGTTGTTTTTATTTAAACAAAGTTAAGCGAAAAATAAAAACGTTAAAAATTAGAACTAACAAATTTCCAGATTACCGAGCTCAGTGTAAATACAACTA